GTCAAGTCCAGCACAGAGGTACCGAGGTTGGTACAGTCATCAGGATTCAAGGCCAGAAAAGGGCAGCTTTCAGAGAAGTTTGAGGGACTTTGCTGGTACTGTAATAAACCTAGGCACAAGAGAGCTCAACGCTGGAAACTTCAATATAGGGGAGATGCCATGGCAGGTAAGGCTGCTACCCAGAAAGGTTGTTGGAACTGTGGAAAGCAAGGACATATGAGGAGCCAGTGTAAGAAGAATATTACCAATAAGTCGGCCTCAAGGAGACCAGTAGTGGTTGGTGTTGAGGGACACCCACCAACCCCCATCGTGAAAGTCCCAACAACTATGTGTAAAATGCCAAGCACACATAGTGTCTATGTGACAGGAAATCTGGATGGCCAAAGGTGCAACTTTGTCATAGATTCTGCATCTCAGCAAACCCTTGTGAGTGTCAAGGTGCTGGATCGCAAAGGAGTACCAGAAGGTGTACAGGAGCTCTGTGGTGTGACAGGACATTATGCAAGGTTGTGGGGACCAGTGTGGATAACTATTGAGCTCATAGGCATGAAGAACAGACACAAAGTATACTTGGCTGACATTGAAGACCAATGCATATTAGGCTTGGACTACTTACTACCAAGAAAGTTTGTAATTAATTTTGATAAAATGACGTTTGGGAACAACAAAGGCCAAGTTCTGGTAACTGTTAAAAGAGAGGTTTAACTAACTAGGTGCCATCAAGCTGAAGTCAAAGCGACTGAGGGAGTTCATGATGGTGAAGTGGAACCAAATATAGATATCAAAGGAGAACAGGAAAAAGATCAAGATTTGAAGCCAATAATTGATTTTCTAAAAGCAAGTGTTTTGCGCCCTGCTTGGGAGAAAGTGTCTTGTCTAAGCCCTGTGATAAAGAACTATTGGGCACTATGGGACCAGTTGAAGCTTGAAGATGGTATTCTTCTTCGGAGATGGGAAACTGCAGATGGGAAAGTGACGACCTGGCAAACGGTTATACCGAGAAAGTTACTAGAAGTTGTGCTGCGTCAATCCCATGATACTTTAACAGGAGGACATCTCGGAGTTAAGAAGACATTGAGTCACCTACAACAGAGATTTTACTGGATAGGTATGAGGCAAGATGTGGAAGAATGGTGCAGAACATGCAGTACATATTATGCTAAAAGGGGACACAAGCATAATGGACGTGCTCCAATGAAGTTATATCAAGTTGGCGCACCAATAGAAAGAGTAGCCATTGACATTGCTGGTCCTCTGCCCCAAACTCGTGCTGGAAACAAGTACATTTGTGTGGTGATGGATTGTTTCACCAAGTGGTCTGAGGCATACGGCAATACCAAATCAGGAAGCTACAACTGTAGCTTCGGCTATTAGTGATTTCTTCTTCAGATTTGGTATGCAATACGAATTGCATTCAGATCAAGGCCATAACTTTGAATCAGCTGTGTTCCATGAATGCTGCAAGTTGTTTGGAATACGAAAGACCAGAACAACGCCACTTCACCCACAGTCTGATAGGATGGTAGAAAAGTACAACTGGACACTTGAACAGGAATTGGCAAAGTTTTATAATAACCACCAAGATGACTGGGATGTCTTACTCCCTCCACTGTTGATGGCCTATAGGACAGCAGAGCATGAAACCACTGGATACACTCCAGCAAAG